TCATCCGACTCGCCGAGTTGTATGATCAACTCGTCTAGTTCACCTTCAACATAAGAACACGTCCAGTCTGTGACTCGTCGAGTTGTATGAACAACTCATCGAGTCTGTTCTTATGGGTAAGGAGTTTGCCTTGGACTCGCCGAGTCAGGGCGTAGACTCACCGAGTGCCTCTACACTCAGATCCATGACTTAACTCATTGAGTCCTTACTCCACTCACTAAACAGACTCGCTACTACTAAACCGGGAATCTAAGACTCACGACCTGATTCGCCGAGTCAGAAGAACGACTCGCCGAGTCCTTGGCATGCAGTTTCAATTCAGTCGATTCTAATTAGCTTTAGTGCATCCAATACATAGATCTAGGTTTCTGGGACTATCTGAACACGTAAAGTTGCTAACTTTACGTGTATCTATGATGAAATGAAGCAATAGCACTCAAACTTGGCTATTATGGGGGTTATTTGACTAAAACAAGACCATGGTTGTCAAAAGGTGGCCTTCTTGAGCTCCTGGAGCTCAGGAGAGGCTAGATCCGAGATATGGCTCGATTACAAAGCTTCATCACTAGGGATTTGGGGAATTTGAGCTCAAAACCATCAATTTGGGGACAAACTAGATCTAGTAGTACAATAATCAAGATGAAAGCTTTATTACCAGAAAGGATGGCCAAAGAGGAGTATAATCTGGATCTACTTCTTCTTCTTTGATTTCTTTTACCTTCTTCTTCTTCTTGCTCAATAAGGCACCAAAAATTCCTTCACAAGGGAAAAGATCACTCGCGGACACTTCAAGGAGGCTAGGATTTCGGGAATAAGTCTCTGAGAGGTGAAGGAGGCTGGTTTGGGGCTATAATGATGTTTACATATGGCACACACCCTGAAAATTAGGGCTTCATCCAGACTGGAGGACTCGCCGAGTCAGGAATATGGACTCATCGAGTCGCCACGCCAACTTCACGTGCGGACCCTCTGCTACTCGACGAGTTAGGGCCACCGACTCGTCGGGTAGCTTCTTAAATAAGAAGAAAAGTAATCTTTTAAATGCGTACAAGGAACAAGGTGTTACAACCCTACCCCACTTATCTTAGACTTCGTCCTCGAAGTTTGCTGCTACTGAATCTAAAAGTAACTTCGGGTAATGCTCCCTCATCTCCTCCTCGGTCACCCATGTCCACTTCGAACCCTTCCGGTGCTGCCACTGCACCTTCACTAGCTGAACCACCTTGTTCCTCAAGGTCTTAGTCTTATGATCCAAGATTGCAATGGGTATCTCGATGCAATTCAGGCTGCTATCAACCTAGATATCATCCAACGGTACAACTGCTGACTCATCCACGAAACACTTTCGTAACTAAGACACATGGAAAGTGTTGTCGCTCTGGCTAAGCTCTAGTGGAAGATCTAACCGATAAGCAACCTGACCTACCCAGGCCAAAACCCTAAAAGGTCCAATGAACCTGGGCCCCAGCTTGCCCCTCTTCCAGAACCTGATGACATCCTTCCAGGGTGACACTTTTAGGAGGACCATATCGCCTACCTGAAACTCCAAATCGGAACGCCTCCTATCGGCGTAACTCTTCTGACGACTCTGAGCAGTCTGGAGCCGGCTACGAACCTGTTGTATCAACTATGTGGTCTTAAGCACCACCTCAGTGCTCCCCATGACTCTCTGACCGACCTCGCCCCAACAGATTGGGGTCCTACATTTCCTCCCGTAGAGCATCTCAAAGGGAGGTCGGTCATACTAGAGTGGTAACTGTTATTATACGAAAATTCTGCTAATGGAAGGTACATATCC